GGAGGTGGGTTTGTGGGGGGCTCACAGGTGAGGGTGGGTGGGTTTGGGGAGCTCACAGGTCAGGGAGGTGGGTTTGTGGGGGGCTCACAGGTGAGGGTGGGTGGGTTTGGGGAGCTCACAGGTCAGGGGAGTGAGTTTGGGGGGCTCACAGGCTGCAGGTCTGGGGGGGCACAGCCGTGCCCCCACACTCGAGGGGATGGCAGCCCCTGCCCCAGGCCGTGCCCCCCGGGCAGCCCTGTGCTCTGGGGCGCTGGGCCCTGCTCCGTGGGGGCCATCCCCGCCCTGAGCCCCCCGTGCCCCCAGCGCTGACGTACCACTACGAGACGCAGTGCATCCCCACGCCGGGGGCCTGGCTCGCCCACCAGCTGCCCGTGTGGTTCCAGAAGCTCAGCGTGGTGGCCACCTACGTCATCGAGGTGGCCGTGCCCGTGCTCTTCTTCGCGCCCCTGCGCCGCCTGCGCCTCTTCGCCTTCTACTGCCAGGTGGGGAGGGGGCACGGAGGGACCCCTGGGGTGGGGAGGGGGCACGGAGGGACCCCCGGGGTGGGGAGGGGGCACGGAGGGACCCCCGGGGCTCGGGGAGGGCTCCTGGCTGTGGGGGTGCTGGGAGAGGGGGTGGTTATGCCACTGATGGGGGGGGGTTGCCCAGTGCCCTCTGCTCTGCAGCCCCATGACCCCCTCAGCTCTGTGACCCCCGGGCCCCCCTTATGCCACACCTCGTGCTGGGGGGGCCCCGGGGGGGCTCCCCAGGGGCTGGGGGTTGGCTCCTTGCTCTGTGGGCACTGGGGCACGGGGTGACCGTGCTGCTGCTGGTGGTGTTGGGGTGCCCAGTGTCCTCTGCCCCCCAGCCCTGTGACCCCCTTGAGCCCCACCTTGTGCAGGGGTGTCTCCAGAAGGACTCCCCTCGGGCAGGGGGTGGCTCCTCTGTGGGCACTGGGATGTGGGGTGGCCATGCTGCTGCTGGAGGGATGCCCAGTGTCCTCTGCCCTCTGTCTCCATGACCCCCCAGCCCTGTGAGCCCCCCAGGCCCCCTCTCATGCTGGGGGGTGCCCAGGGGGTCTCCCCAGAGGCTGGGGGTCGGCTCCTCATTCTGCTGTCACTGGGAGATGGGATGGTGGTGCTGGTGGTGCTAGTGGGGTGCCCAGTATTCTTTGCCCCCCAGCCCCATGCCCCCCCAGCCCTGTGACCCCCCCACCCTGTCCCTGCTCCCCCCCAGGTCCTGCTGCAGGTGCTCATCATCCTCACGGGTAACTACAACTTCTTCAACGCGCTCACCATCGTCCTGGCCTTCTCCCTGCTGGACGAGGAGCACGTGGGGCGCTGGCTGGGGCGCCCCAAGAAGCGACAGGGCAGCGGTGAGACCCCCAGCACCCCCGGTTTGGGGGGGCAGGTCGTTTCTGGGGTGGGGAGGGGACAGGGGACAGGTGACGTTGTGGCTCCACTGTGGGAGCTGCTGCCAGTGCGGCCCCTCCCCACCCCCAGGGTGAGGGGCTGTGGCCGTGGGACACCCTGGGAGGGCTCAGGGGGGTTTGGGGGGGTTCCCAGCCCAGCTCTGAGCCCCCCAATCCTCCCAGCCTGGCCCCCCAGCCTGGGCTCTGTGCTGGCCACGCTGCTGGAGCTCAACACCTACGGGCTCCTGCTCTACTGGACCGTGCAGTACTTCGGCCTGGAGATCAACTGGGACAAGAAGCTGCTGGACTCCAAAGTGGGTACGTCCAGGGGGGCTGCTGACCCCTCAGCCCCCACCCTGGGGGGCTGGAGAAGCCCCTCCCTGATGCCACAGCTTTCCCTTGGCTCCAGCCTTCACCTACCACGAGTTCACGACGTGGCTGCGGACGGTGACGCTGCCGCTGGTGGGGGTGGCCTTCCTGTCCCTGTCCTGGGAGATCCTGCTGGCCATGTACCGGTGGGTGTCGGGGGGCACTGGGGTGCCCTGAGGGTGTGGGGGACCCCTGGGTGCTGGGGGAGCTGGGAGGGGGCTCTGGATGCTGGGAAGGGGGTGATGCAGCTCTGGGAGTTGGGAGTGTTGGAGCAGTCAAGCACAGCATGGGGGGGGCTCTGAACCCCTCAGCTCGCAGCTGGAGCCCCCCCAACCTGGGGGGTGGTGCCTCTTTGTCCCCTTAATGCCCCATTCGTGCCCCCCCAGCTGTGCCTGTGTCCGTGGATGCTTCTGGAAGCTCTGGGCCACCCTCCAGTGGGCCATCATGGCCACGGCCACCGTCAGCTTGTTCGCCGTCAGCCTGGTGAGGGGTCGGGGGGGTCGGGGGGCTCCGGGGGCCCCCCCGAGCCACGGTGACAGACCCCTCCTGCCCCTGCCAGGTGCCCTTCACCTACATCGAGCACGAGTCCAACGGGAAGCTGTGGCCTGGCATCCACCGGCTGTTCGGGGCGGTGGAGCGGTTCCAGGTGGTGAATTCCTACGGGCTGTTCCGCAGGATGACGGGGGTCGGGGGGCGGCCCGAGGTCGTGCTGGAGGGCAGCTACGACGGGCACAGCTGGACGGTGAGTGCGGGGCGGGCACGGGGTCGGGATGGGCACGGGGGTGGGAGCCAAACCGTCCCCCAGCACTGCCAAGGCCACCGCTGCCCCGTGTCCCCAAGTGCCACATCCACAGGGCTTGGAAATCCCTCCAGGGATGGGGACCCCACCGCTGCCTTGGGCAGCCCCTTCCCATGTCTGACAGTCCCTTCCAGGAATGTTCCCGATATCCAACCTAAACCTCCCCTGGCACAGTTTGTGGTCGTTTCCTCTTGTCCTGTCACTTGTTCCCTGGTTTTAGAGCCGCCCCCAGGTCCTTTTCCTGCCGGGCAGTTTTCCTGCCACCCTTTCCCACATTCCCCCGTTTCCCCCTGGAACGCTGCCCGGGGCTGTGAGGTGTCCCTGTCACAAAATCCCGGGATGTTTGGGTGGGAAGGGACCTTACAGACCACCCAGTTCCACCCCCGTG